TCGGGCGGGTGGCGGGCAGGGCGTTCGTTTCTCGCTGCGGCCTGGGAGGCCTGGGCCTTCTGGAGGAGAGGCTGGTGTGTGTGTGTGTGTGTGTGTGTATGTGGGGTTGGGCGCCAGTTGATGGAGGGCGATAAACGAGGGGGCTGCAAGACAGGTGCTCTTCTTCGGGCCCTCGAAGGCCCCCTCTGGGGCCAGCAGGGCTCCTTTAGGGGCCCTGCTGGCCTCCTTTGCAGTCCTCGCTGCCCCGATTATTGCCGCCCCATTAGTTCGCGCCCATGGTGGTCCTGGAGTAAGGGCCTGTATTTGGAGGGTGCTGATTCCGCGCGGGGGAAGTCCGTACGGAGTGCTCGATTTCCATCTGGGCTTACCCCGTCCTGGCTTGGCCTGCCTCTCCTGATAGGATCTCTCACGGAGCCGCAGTGCGCTGAGGCCCTGGGCCAGGGGGTTGCCATCACCTGCCAGCCGCGCAGGCATGTCTCTTCGCCAGCCGAGGGCCTCCTTTTCCTGCGGGATGCTCTCTTGTCTCCGTGCTTGGCTGCATGCCCTGGCGCCCGTTTCATCGGCCAGTCTCCGCTCCCGGGTGTCCCATATATGCTGCCTTCTTCCAGCATCCTCCCGAGGAGCTCTCGCATGCGGTCCTCCTTCCTCGACCCTCCTCTTGCAGCTCCCTCCGCCGAGCCTTCTCTTCCTGCACCTCCTCAGTCGAGCCTCCTTCTTCCTTCTGTCAGTCATCCCGCTTCCAGGCCTCCTTCCGCATCGAAGGGGTCGATACAGGAGGATCTATGCTCTGGGCGTCTTCTCGAGGCGCGCCGCTGGCCTTCGAAGGGACGGGGGGACCTTCTACGACAGGGGGCCTTCACGGCGGTGCAGACAGTGGTGGTGGGGCCTGCGGGGGGCGCAGACGGGGGGGTTGTGGAGGGTTTCTCCGAAGGCTTAGCCGTCCTCCTCGTCCTCCTCCTCCTCCTCCTCCGCCTCCTCCTCCTCCTCGTCGTCGTCCTCCTCCTCCTCCTCCTCCTCCTCCTCCTCCTCCTCCTCCTCCTCCTCCCCCTCCTCCTCCTCCTCCTCCTCCTCCTCCTCCGCCTCCTATCTACTTGAAGCGCCCTCCTACTTCAATCATCGAATGGCTCCACCTTTTCCGTCCTCCTCTGGGGGCGGACGTCACCGAGTCTACTTTCAACGCCTTCCTACTTCATGGTTGTACCTACTTCTTCCGACCGATGGGTACGCCCGTGTTGAAACGCAAGGCGTACCGTGGTCACAACGCCCGGGCTGAGCACGCCGCGCGTTGGCTCGGCGCATGTTGGCCCACGTGTCGGCGACCGCGTCGCGCCAGGCCTACACTTGCAAGGTGCGAGTGGAGCTCCGTGTCAACGCGCGATGGGGTCCGTACTGCGCATCGGTGCAGCCGAGCATGGCAGATATCCTGGCGCCGGGCACGACATTGGGGGTCCAGCCCGGAGCGTTGGGTCGCAGGCGGGTCGGGCGAGAGGAACTGCGCCAAGGGGCCCCTCGCCAGGAGCACCGCCGGGGATTGCGCCGGCTTCTCCCGAGTGGCCGCTGCTGGGAGCTTCGCCACAGGCCCGCTGCGGCTGTCGCCTCAGGCCCGCCGAGAGGGCCGGGGGCTGGCACACCCTGGCGGGAGCGCCGAGAAGCGGTGACCGGCGGCGTTGGGGGCGCAGCATGGGCTCAGTCCAGCCAGCACGCCGTGCTTCGGCGGCAGATCATGGGAGCCCTGCGCGTCCTCGCGAGCCCGTCGTTGGAGTGCACGAGCGTGCGATAGCGTCTGGTAATCGATGAGAAGGCGCCGATTTCGTGCCGATCAGCGTCGATTCGCGTCGATTGGCGTCGGCCAGCTCTGCTTCGAAAGAGCCAGCAGGATGGCACGGGAGGCTCCCATGAGTTGCCACCGAAGGCTCAGCTCAGCCTGCATGCCGTGCAGGCGATTCCGCGGGGCGACGTCGCGCCCCCCTGGCCAGGCGAGCTGCGGCCCCGTGAGCAACCGCGCGTGCCCACTGCAGCCAGCCAGCCCAGGGGGGGGCGGGCCCGGACACCCGAGCCCAGCGCATGCGCGCGCCGAGGGGTCGCCCGTGAAGGCTTTCTCCGAAGGGCTTAGGCGACCCGTCCTCCTCCTCCTCCTCCTCCTCCTCCCTTCTCCTCCTCCTCCTCCTCCTCCTCCTTCATCTCCTCCTCCCCCTCCCCCTCCTCCGCCTCCTCCTCCTCCTTCTCCTCCTCCTCCTCGGGTCGCCTACGGCCCCGGGGGGAAGCCGTGCAGTTGCCCGCGCGGGCTCGTGCGGACGAAGTGTGCGGGCCCACCGCGCAGCGCCACAAGCCGTGGGCACGGAGGCGGCGCCCATCCGCGGAGCCCTGCGCTGCCCCCGCGGAAGCCCCGAGAGCCCGTCGACGGGGCCATCGCGAGCGCCGGCGGGGGATGCTGCCATCCTGCGTGCGCAGCCCTCCGCTGTCCCAGCGCAGCCTTTTGCCACCGAGCACCCCTGCCGCCGGCCGTGGGGCCGGAAGAGTCGATGATCCTCAGGACGTGTGTTGGCCCAATGTGTGTTTACCCCGTTCAGCCACACCCGCAGATCATTGCATCGCCAGCGTCGCATGGAAGGGCCTCGGTGGATGGACAAACGCTGGCGCTGACACACGTTGTGAGGATCATCGAAAAAGGGCCGTCACGGCGCTGGGGCAGCGGGGAGCGGCTTCTCCAGGTTGAGGGACACCAGTAGCACAGGGAGCCTTGGCCTCGGTACGCGGGGCCACGGGAGCGACCGCCCCGAGGCCGCGAGAGAGCCAGGGGAGGCAGCCAGGCCGCGTAGGCGGCGGCAGGCCGTGCAGGGTATAGGAGGCGTTCAGGGTGCATGAGCGGCCGAAAGCTCCAGGGGTTGTGGAGCCTGTCTCCAGGGGCGCAGGGCTACGGGGGAGATCCTGCAACAGGTAGTGTGGCCAGTGCTGAGGAAGGAGGATCCGCTGAGTGCTTTCCCCAGCGCAGTTGTGTCACCTCAGGCATACGCCTTCTGAGGAAGCTGGCACGCAGCCCGCAACCTTGACACATTTTCTCCTTTTTTATATAAAGCTTTTTTGTTTTGTAAAAACATTTTTTTTTTATTTTTACATTTTCAGTTTTTTGGTGTTTTTGTTTTTGTTGTTGTTTTTGATTTCGCTTATGTTGTTGTTGTTGCCGCTGGTGCTGTTGTTGTTGTTGTTGTTGTTGCTGTTGTTGTCGTCGTCGTCGTCGTCGTCGTCGTTGTTGTTGTTGTTGTTGTTGTTGTTGCTGTTGAACATTATTTCTTCTTAAGAATAATTATTGTTGGGACCCCTGGTGCACGACCCCCCCGCCGCGCCTAGGCCGCAGCCACATTTTCATCATTTTCGTGAGGAAGTCTCAGGCAAAACGGGGTATACCAGATCCGGTTGTTTTGTTGACGCCCGCTTTCCCTTGCAAAAAACACTATAACATGAAATCTCTTGTTCTAACATAACCAAACTTCAAGAATCCTTTGCAAAAAAAACGACACGAAGTGCACACTCGCGCGCGCAAGATGAAATCCTTCCAAAACCTTAGTTTTCGTAGCGATTTTAACATAAAAACATGAAAAACCCAATGGTTTTTCAAAACAAAAGTTTCAAAATTCATCTTGCGCGCTCTTGCGGATTTCTGAGGAAACCCAATATTTTTTCAACATTTCTGTCAAACGGGCTCTTGCGAGCAACTTTTTCACGTGCTTCGAATCTCTGCAACAACGGTTGCGCACCTGCCAGGGCCATCATCCCTGTCAAATAATACCATGCGGGACACATTCGTTTTTTCTTCGCGCGCGCACGCCGTCGTCGTCGGCCGCGGGGCCCTGAATAGTAGCCACGGTCGTCCGCATGCCACGAAGTGAAGTGTCCGAACGTCATAGGGCGGGAAGCTGGGTGTGGGTGGTGGCGAAGAGTCGTATGGAAATTTGGTAGAGCTTGAACCGGCCCCCCCACAAAGTGGGGGTATTGCCCGCCTCCTATGAAAACCCTGGCACTGGTGAGAACGGAGTGTCCCCAGTCTTAAATGATTGTTGTTGTTGTTGTTGTTGTTGTTGTTGTTGTTGTTGTCGTTGTTGTTTTGTAGTAGTAGTAGTAGTAGTAGTAGTAGTGGTGGTGGTGGTGGTGGTGGTGGTGGTGGCGGTGGTGGTGGTGGTGGTGGTGGTGGTGGTGGTAGTAGTAGTAGTAGTTTTTTTGTGTTCTTCCGTTTTGTATGTCAAGAAGATCTGTTGCCAGGGAAGGGGCGCAGGGCCTGGATGCCAGCGCGCGCCCCCCGAACGGGGGAGGCCTTGGCGCCCCCAGCCCCCGGGGATGCCGCCCGCGCGACGGCGTGCGCATCCCCCCCCCCCCCCGGGGAGCCCCTGCAGCTGCCGGGGCGCCGGGTGCCACCCTCGCTGGCCTCGTAGTGGCCAGGGCCACTACTAATCATATCTGCACGCACGAAATGGGCACGGAAAGAATGGGTGCGATGCCCGACAGCAGTTCCTGTTCATGTTGAGCAGGGTTCGCTGTCCGCGCCGCTGCGGCCCGTGTTCATTCGAGACAGGAGGCCGCCCGCCCAACAGCGGCCGCTGTTGGTTTGGGACAACATTTGCTGTTGGGCATCGTACCCATTCTTTCGGTACCCATTTCGGGTATCCAAATCGTAGTGGCCAGGGCCACAACTAATCATATGTCGGGTTTGTTCCCCCACAGTGGGATTTTCGACGAAAAAAAGAAAATACCCTAAACATGCCCCAAACAAAACGTATCTGGACGCCCGAAATTTGTACGGAAAGAATGGGTACGGTGTCCAACAGCAGTTCCTGTTCATTCTGAACAGGACTCGCTGTCCGCGCCGCCGCGGCCTGTGTCCATTCGAGACAGGAGGCCGCCCGCCCAACAGCGGCCGCTGTTGGTTTGGGACAACATTTGCTGTTGGGCATAGTGCCCATTCTTTCCGTGCCCATCTCGGGTGTCCAAATCATAGTGGCCAGGGC